TTTAAAAAAACAAAAAACACTCAAAATGTTTAAAAAAATAAAATTGTCTCGTAGAGCCCTGGCCAGTGTGGCTCAGTTGGTTGGAACGTTGCCCCATACACCAAGAGGTGGTGGGTACGATTCCTGGTCAGGAAATATGCCCAGGTTGTGGGTTCAGTCCCTGGTTGGGGCGTGTGCTGGAGGCAGCCAATCACTGTTTCTCTCTCTCTAAAATCATTTTTAAAAATAAAATTGTCTAGTATCTGTAGTAAAAGAAGTAAAAAGGAGCAGGTGAAATTAACTGTAGTAATACATACATATATCACTGTTGGTTTAGTCAGGAAATTTTACCAAAAATTATTTTTTAAATTGGGGCAAAATATACGTAACATAAAATTTACCCCTTTAACCACTGTAAGTGTATAGTTCGGGGACATTAAGTACATTCGTGGTGTTGCACAACCATCACTCAGAAGTGATGCTGTTCCGAACTGCAGTTCCATCCCCAGGGAACAATAGCCCCCCTCCCCGGCCCACATCCACCGTGGCTTCCTGTGTCTGTGAGAGTGACTCCCCCAGGGCCCCCCTAGAAGAGGGGTCCTACACTGTTCCTCCCTCTGCGTCTGGCTTGTTTCACCCCATATAATGTCCTCTGGGCTCATTATACAGCCTGTGTCAGAATGTCCTTGCTTTTGAAGGCTGTTTAGTAATATTTTTCTGAACCCAATATACCCAAAGGACTATTCCAACACGTAATCTATGTAAAAAATTATGAGAGTTTACATTCCTGCCTTCCAGGGACAGCCCCTCGAGTCCCCTCCTCGACTGGCAGCCCTTTCCCAGGCCACCCTGGCCCCCTGCTGCTGCTCAGCCCACACACATCCCGGAGCTCCAGCCCCCCAGACCAAAGAAGGAAGACCACCCCATGGGAGACCACCTCAAGGCAGAACACCCCGTGGGAGACCACCCCGTGGCAGACCACCCATGGGAGACCACCCCGTGGCAGACCACCCATGGGAGACCATCCCGTGGCAGACCACCCCTTGGGAGACCACCCCGTGGCAGACCACCCCACAGCACCTGCTGGGCCAGCTCCTGCAATGATGGGAAGGTCGCACACCTGTGAGGTCCATTATGGCAGCCACTGGCCACAGGCGGCTGCTGAGCTCTGAAAGGTGGCCAGTGCGACCCAGGGGCTGAGTTTTTCGTTCCACCGAGTTAACTGAAATGTCAGTAGCCACACACGGTGGGGGCTCCCGAACTGAGCGGGCCACTTCCCACCACCAGCTGGCCACCCCTGGTGCAACCCCTGGGGTCCTGGAGGTAGCCAGGGGGCCCCTGGCAGAGCCATCAGAGCGCCCCGGCTGGGCCTCCCCGGCTCGGGGCCTCGCTGGGCC